CACGTGATATTTGGCCAGTTGGACACTTCTAAGTCTCAGTTTCCTCTTGTTAAATGGAGGTAATCAGAGTAGTGCCTTCACAAACGATTGTGAAGATGAATTCAATTAATGCACGTAAATGGATTCCTAACTGCCTAATAGGGTAAATGCTCCATAAGAGTGAGCAGATATCATTTATTTGGTCTGCAACCTGACTAACCAAGGCCAGCCTGCTAGGATCACACAGTTAATGGGGAAGCCAGGATTCAAATAAGTGCCTTTTTGACCCCACCACCCATGGTTTCCAAGATAGAAAAATATGTTGGACTGTAGTTGTGAAGAGAGAGAAGAGAGAGAGAGAGAGGGGGGAGGAGTGAAAGGAGAGACGGTAGAGGGAAGAGAAATGGACAATGCAAATGGGAATTTAAGAAAAGGGCAATGGAAAATGAATGGAGAGTAATTAGTGGTAGGAAAAGAAAAAGGAAGTCAGAGAGGAGATAGAGAGAGGTGAGGGAGAAGAACCAGAAAAGAGCTGGGGAGAGAGACATGAAGCTCTGGGGACCCCTCAGCCCCCCCTCCTGCCCAGGCCCTGTGCTATCCCTCTGCTGGCTGAATTCCTGACCTGGCATCTACCACTGCCACCTCTTGCCTCTTCTGACCTCTGCCTGCCCCAGATGCTCTCGAGGCCTGCCTTTCACCATCCTTGGGTCTCACAACTCGCCGCTCACTCCTCACTGCCCAGAACAAGGCCCAAAGGCCGGAGCATGGTATCGGAGATAAGCTACAGAAGGGCTCCCACCTGTCTTTCTAGACAAACCTTCAACTGTTCTCCGCCCTCTATCCTTTCACTCTATTTTTAACTATAAGGAAATAGGCTTTCTTTTCCCCCACCACCAAATTACAACCACTTTATTCATAAATGCTTTGCCTATTTTTTTTATTCTGACACTCAGCAGAACACATCAGTGCTGTACTTTAATAGTAAACTGAGAAACTAAATTTGTACATGATTGGTATTTAATTTTTCAATAAATAAATTCATTTTAATTTATTAAGTTCACGTGTCATTTACATTAAAATGATGCTTAGTGTATTTCTACCCAGTGTCATTTTACTTACGAAATATAATAACTGATTGATGTTAGTGTCTCCTTTTGTCATTAAAATACATTCATATACATATCTCAGAATCCTCATAATCACAGATAACTATTATGGTTTACATAATAGCATTTCCTTTAAATTCTCTTGATATGCTGTATATTTGGGGCAATTATGATTTTACTTTTTCCTATTTCTTTTAATTTTTTTCTCTTGCTTTACCTACCTGTCCCTTCCCCTGGTTTCCCCCAATGTTGTAAACTCATAAACTGGAGATTGATAGTGTAATAGTGAAACATGGCACAATCAAAATAGCATGCACCCCAGGTCTGCCTAGTAATGCTGTAGACCCTGCTAGAGATCAGATTTATAAATGGGCGGGAAGTGATGACCTCAGGCTGGTATCCAGAGTGGGGAAGACCTGGAAACGATCCTTGAGAAGTTATTTAATCCAGAGACTTATATATTTGTAATCCTGTTCCATTTGTCATAGAGATCCCGTTGTTCTGGCCAAGAATGATACTAACCAACCAAGCGACCTACCAGATAAACGTTCATGAACAAAGGGCCCCAATTCTGCGGGGGCCCGAGCGTGCGCTGGGAACTCACGCCGCGTGGCATTTCCCGCGTCGAGGGTGCACAGTGCTTGGTAATAGGAAGGTTTGTCGTCGAGAAAGAATCTCAGACAGTGGGTGGTGGACAGACTCCTTCACCAGCAGGTTGATGGGGCTGGGCTTCTGTAGCCCAGGCAGGGCAATTCCAGGCAGACGAAAGGGGATCCAAAAGCCTCCCTTCATTCGCAGGAATTATATTGAGCGTGAATGTTTGGGGTGCAGTCTCAGTAGAGAACCATACTTTTTAACTAAACCATATTCTCTCATGCCTTTATTGCTGCAGTTTCTGACCCCGGAGCACTAGTGATGCTCTTACAAACACGTGTGGGGTCCTCTAGGTCAGCTCCATGTCCGTTAAGATTTGAAAGGCGTCCTGAAGGAGCATGTAGGTTAGCAGTAGAGACAGACTGCAAAACAGCTGAAACATTGTAAGTCGTATGTGACAGACAGAATATAGAGCTGAAGAAGTACAAACAAGGGAGCCATGTTATTGGATCAAGGGGCTGGTGGGGCTTTAAAGGGTGAATACGAGTTTTCTAGGTGGGCAGGGGTGGGTAGGGCGTGTCTGCCAGAGCACACAGGCCAAGGCCCGAGGGCAGCAAAGTGCACCGCACGTTCAGGGACAGCTGGGTAGAGGGGCAGGAGAGGGTCGAGCCCCCTGGAGGAGAATCGGTAGGAGTGGCAAGGCTGAGGCTGGAAGGGCGGGTGAGGCCAGGGTGTGTTGAGCGCAGAGGAAGTGAGGCGGCGTTGGGGTGCGGAGTAAAGGGGTGCGGCAATCTCTGTTCTCTGCTGCGGGGAATCCTGCTCCTCCTCATCAGCGCTTCCCTGCCCTGGCTTCTACCCAAGGAAAATGAAGCCCTCTCTTTTTCCCCTCCCCATGCGGTTTTTGATGTTAAAAAAGTTTTAAATTGAGTTATAATTGATATATAATATATATATATTTTAAATATATCTTTATTGATTTCAGAGAGAGGAAAGGAGAGGGAGAGAGAGAGATAGAAACATCAATGATGAGAGAGTCATTGATCGGCTGCAGCCCGCAACCCAGGCCTGTGCCCTGACCGGGAATCGAACCCTGATCTCCTGTATCCTAGGTCGACACTCAACCGCTGAGCCACACCTGGCTGGGCAGACATATAATATTATATTCATTTCAGGTGTTCAACATAATGACTTAATAGTTGTATGTATTGCAAAATCACCACAATAAATCTAGTTGACATCTGGCATTATTATAAAAATATTCTTTCTGAGTGATGAGAACTTTTAAGATTTACTTTCTTAGCAACTTTCAAAAAGCAATACACTATTTTTAACTCTAGTCACCATGTTGTACATTAAATCCCCATGACTTGTTTATTTTATAACTGGAAGTCTCTACCTTTTGGCCACCTTCACCAATTTTGCACCCACCAAACCCCGCCTCTGGCAACCACCGACGTGTTCTCTGTATCTGTGAGCTTGGGTTTTTCTGTTTTTGTTTTAATTTTTGTTTTTAGAGCCCGCATATAAGTGAGATCATGCAGTAATTGTCTTTCTCTGCCTGACTTGTTTCACTTAGCATAATGCCTTCCCGATCCATCCGTTTCACCACAAATGGCAAGATTTCACTCATATTTATGGCTGAGTAAAATTTCGTTGTATGTATATAGCAGATTTTCTTCATCCATTCATCGATCGATGGACACTTAGGTTGCTTCCCTATTTTGGTTATTGTAAATAACGCTGCACTAAACATGGGCTGCATACCTCTTTTCCAATTAGTGTGTTCTCCCTGTGTTTTTCTTTCATATGGTTCCTGAGCCATTACCCCATTGTTTCTTGGTTGGTTTAGATGTCTACTTTTCTCTGTAGGCTGTGAAGCCCTTGGGGGAGGGGATTTTTGTCTTACCTGTTTAGATTACTTGGCTACTCGATAGGTGCCAAATTAATGTTTCTTAGGTTGGACTGTTCTGTAGATTAATAGCTCAACTAAGGTATTTTACAGCTTTAAAATTATAAAGATTATATGATCCTGAATATTGACATCTCCCACACTGCCCTAATTTTATGTAGTACATGGCAGGAATTATTTATCTTTACGGAAGAACTTCTTTGGCATCATAGCTTGTTTAGTATGAATCACTTTTTTTCTTAAATGTAATTTGTTTAAATGTGAAGTCCTGTGTCTAGAAAAGTGAAATGTTCACATGGCGAAACTCTAAAAATAACACACTGCAGAGAAGATGCCAAAACAATGGTTTCAATCAGAAATGCTTTCTGAATCCAGATCTAAATGAGAATTAATTACTGAATCAGATCGCAGTTACTAGGCATTCATTGTGTCAAGGCAATTAACAACAGTATTGAGAAACCTAAGTAATGGAATATTTTTAAAACCTTCTAGTTTTGTTCAGATTTCTAATGTGTTATGATCAGATGTTCCTTATGTGCAAGATGTAATATGGATGATTATATTTTACAATAAAGTTTTCATGAAGAGTTTCATTCTCAGTCTCTTAGTGGATAGACAGGCTCCCTCGAGTCAGATCCCACTGCTCCTGTATTGTTTAAGATTCATTTCGAAACAAGTGCTTTTATTTTGTTGTATAATTTATTTATTTATTTTTTTAATAAATCTTTATTGATTTCAGAGAGAGAGGAAAGGAGAGGGAGAGAGAGATAGAAACATCAATGATGAGAGAGTCATTAATCGAGCCCACAACCCGGGCATGTGCCCTGACCGGGAATCGAACCCCGATCGCCTGGATCCCAGGTCGATGCTCAACCGCTGAGCCACGCCCGGCCAGGCTTGTTGTATAATTTATTAAATTTTCTGAGATAAAATTTACTAGGGAAGTTTCCTGTAATTTCTAAGGAGAAGTANAGGCTTGTTGTATAATTTATTAAATTTGCTGAGATAAAATTTACTAGGGAAGTTTCCTGTAATTTCTAAGGAGAAGTACAAGATTGAATAAGCTCGTTACAGAAACCGTCTTGTTTCTGTCGAAGTGATTCTGAAGCTTGAAGTACAGATATGGGGTGAGGAAACTTCAGGAAACTACATTTAACTGTCTTTGTTGGCCTGTCTCACCAGGCTTAGCGATATTAATTTCAGGGGCACTTTGATTCTGCATGATTCTTTTCTCCTTATTTGGAAACATTTTCCGTTTATTTCATAGAAAAAGACATAAAGTCTTTACTACTATAACTGATCAGTGTGTCAGCATAATATATGATCCACTTAGTAACTTAGTAATATGCTTTAGAGGTCATTTAAGTTCTAGATATAAGCTGTTAAATAATTTAATGCTTATTTTTTCAACAGATGTGAATTACTAAAAAAGAAAAATGGCCCAACGGAGCACTGTATTTCCTTCTCTTGTCACCAAGGAAAGGTATAATATACGGAAAATATGCATCTAAGGTATACTTTTTCTTTTCACCAATCCCTTGAGGGCTGCTAGTGGGTGTGATGGCCATTGTCAATGAAGCTTTACAGCTGTTACATTATCCAAGAATGATTTTGTTCAAGGGCAAGAGCAGTAGTGTGTGCACCCTCTCCAGCTTTCAATTTGTAGGATACTGTGGACCACTCAGTGACCACGAGAGGGGAAGATCTCACAGTGGCCCTGCATTTCAGATGTACTTTTGGTCAACAGTGAAATACAATTCTGGAGACTTGGGGGACTGATGTCTCGGCTAACGCTTTTAAACCAGAAGTTGCAAACTGGGTGTCCATAGGCCAATATTGGCTCATGGAAGTACAGTTTTTGATCTGCATCATCTTAAATACTTTTTAAATGAGTTGTTACCACTTAAGAATCAGGTGATGTCACATACAAGTCTGGATTTCCTGGATCTTCTTGAAATATCAGATGATCTGGAAAAGTGGACTGGGCCTTCCCAGATGGTCACTTAGGGGCGGAACAGAATCATGGCTCCCTTTTATCGAGGAATGCCCTTTCCATTTCTCCAAAGCCCTCACCACTCCCCATTACATCACGCGAGGTGTGCTTCACTCATTTATGTCACCTCCCTGACTCTTGTAGGCATTCGGGTTTGGAACCACTGCTTCAGGGGGAGGAAGGAGGGGGGCCTGTCAGGAGATTTTGTCAATAAGCTTGGTCTTGATAACACAGCTTATGCTGGGAAGACATCTCAGTGTGCCCAGTGCCACCAACCCCTTGCTTTTGGAGGTCATGGAAGCTGCCACCTGCACACTTTGCTCTCTCGATCCGATTGTTTAAAGTTGCTGCCTGGTTCAGGTAGAAAACTCTTTTGGGCAGAAACCCTGCCTCAAACCTCATTTAGCTTGTAGGGCTAGATAATTTGCATTGTCTTCTCTGGGAAGTCTTGAATCTGGCTTTAAATATGGCCCTTTCCTCGAGTAGCAACCCTAGTAACGCGGTTCCCTTCTGCAGGCGAGTCAGGACCATGCCCCGACACAGCCAGTCCCTGACCATGGCACCCTACTCCGTCAGCCTAGTGGAGCAGCTGGAGGACAGGATCCTCTGCCACGAGAAGACGACCGCCGCCCTCGTGGAGCACGCCTTCCGAATTAAAGACGACATCGTCAACAGTTTGCAGAAAATGCAAAACAAAGGGGGCGGCGACCGCCTGGCCAGGCTTTTCTTGGAGGAGCACATCAGAAACATAACTGCCATAGTGAAGCAGCTTAATCGGGATATCGAGGTAAGGGGGTGAGCAGGCGGGCTGTGCTCTCCACCCACTCCTTCCACCGCAGGAGGTGGGCAAGGCCAGCTCCCACCTCCCAGGCGGCGATGCCTTCACACCAGAGCCGCCTGGCTTGTGTTCTTAATGATCACCAAGGAAACAGCTTGAACAAATATCCCAGTTAAATTTATTCCGGTATTTGATACAGTTACTGTGAGCGTTATTTTTGTTTAATCTAAATTTACCTTGCTGATGATTAAATCACTTTGTTTTGTTTGGCTCTCAAGGGAGAGAGAGAAGAACCGGTCAAATCGTTTCCCTGTAAAAAGCCTTCATATCATTGAACGCAGCTATTAAGTCAATTACTAGGTCAGCCTTTGCTAATCTGATTAAATATTTCTAGGTGATGATGATTTTATATAATAGAGTTTATTACTCAAACAACCTAGAGATTTAAATTGCTTCTCAGATCCTCTTTTGTTGCTTTATTTTTCTCTGCAATGAGCCCAGTAAAAGGCCAATATTGTCTATTTTTAGAATTTGTAAATTTACTGCTACTAATTGAGCGATCACAGGAATCACACAGTTTAGTTCAGAAACCTTAAGATCACTTAGGGCCCGGGCTTCCATCACTGAACATTGTTAATATCCTTCACATGTAATTTTAAAATATATAAGTAAAAAGTATATTGACTAGATTAAGGAAAACCTTTGTTTCAAGTCATAGAGATGGTGTCTTAATTATGCTTAGGAAATTAAGCCTCATTTTTTTGGTGTTGGATATGTATGTATGTATTTAACAGTCTTATTGAGGTATAATTTAAAAGCCACAAAAATTCACCCATTGTAAATGTACAAATCAATGATTTTTAGTAAATATATAGAATTGTATATCCATCAACACCATTTAGTTGTAAAACATTTCTATCACATCCGCACATTTATATAAGCCTATTTGCAATCAATTTCTACCTCTACCCCAGCCCCAGGCGACCACCAATCTGCTTTCTGTCTCTATAATTTTGTCTTTTCTGGACATTTCATATAAACGGAATCTTATGAAGTCTTCTGCATCTGGCTTCTTTCACTTAGCATAATCTTTCTGAGATTCAGCCATGTTCTAGAATGTTCTTTTTATCTCTGACTAGTATCCTATTGTATGGATATACCACATTCTGTTTGTCCCTTCATTACTTAATGGACATTTGGATTGTTTCCAGTTTTAAGCTATTATGAATAAAGCTGCTGTGAACACTTGTGTACAAGTCTTTGTGTGGGCATATGTTTTCTTTTCTCTTGGGTAAATTTCTAGGAATGGAATTGCTAGGTCTTATAGTAAGCTTTTGTTTAACTTTTTAAAACATAGCCAAACAATTTTGCAAAGTGGCTCTAATTATTTTACAGCTCACCAGTAATGTATGAGGTGTCTCGTTTTTCCATATCCCCACCAACGCTTGGTATTATCTGTCTTTTTTATTATAGTCATTATAGTGCATGTGTAGTGGTTTTCATGGTGGTTTTAATTTGAATTTTCTTAATGACTAATGATGTTGAGCACCTTTTCATATGCTAATTTATCATTCGTGTGTCTTATTTGGTGAAATGTATACTTAAATCTGCCTATGAGTAGAGTGATCCAAGGACTGGAAACAGCTGGAGCATGTTCCCTGCAGCAGCTGTCCCCGAGGGATACTGGCCAGTGGTTTTTGCTGCTTGGACCTAGGAATAATGCCTTTTGTGTCTTTTTCTTAGTCAGGATCCCCACCTGCCTTGTCGATTGTGTGAACTTCTCCCCTATAGCCTTCCAATAAATTCAGTTTCCCCTCCAAAATTAGTCAGGTTTAATTGCCTGCAACCAAAGAGCTCTAATGACAAAGGGGGCAAAGAAAATTTAAGAAGTTGCCAGAGATAACTTACTTGTTTGTGGAAGGTGTGTCTGTATTTAGGGTGCTCTTTCCAGTTTTATATTTGAGTGCTAAAGCTTTATCCCAGAGGCTGAATCACTTGCCAACCCCAAGTTAAACATTTCAATTTTGAAAGGGGTTAGAGAGAACTTAGGGGCCTGATAGCCCCCCACACCCAAATCTAGAGAGGGAGAGAGATAAAATCAAAGTGACTAGGGATAAATAATGATGGTCAGGTTCCCATCCTCTCAACCAGTGGCAAAGAAGTGTGTCTTTTAAAAATACAAACACCCCTATGTTTCATCTTAGAAATAGTGTGACCTCCCCATTCTTTCCAGGGCCAGCATTGCCTGTGAGTACTCAGCTGGGCTCCCTTTGTTCACTTGGGTGGTGGACAGACTAGAGACAGGAGCCGATCTAGTCTGGCAGTACTGCCCCGGGTAAAAGTAGCGTGTAACTCTACCCTTAGAAAAGCCTGGACTTGATTTTTCCTGTCAACTCTGGGATCTGGGGAATAATTTCCCACTTGGTAGCTACTGTGTACTAATTCAACAATCAGAACTATTTTAAACATATAATTTCCAGCTTCAGCTGAGCCCTCAATGCTGATTTATAGCTGCTTCATTCTAGGAAGCCCTCGGTTCCCTTTCTTTTAATGCACTTGCCACGGTTACCATAGCATTTACTGAACAGGATTGACATTGGTGTTTTCACGAGTCTGGTTCCCTTGATAGATTGTGAGCTCTTCAAAAAGAAAGGGACCTTGTCTTACTCATCTTTGCATTGTCCAGCACAATGTAAATACCATGAATGCTTATTAAGTGAATACATGCCCAATTCAGAGGGAGGCCAGTTGCAGATTCGCTGGTAGCAAAAAGGGCTAGAAGAGACAGGCCCTGAGGTCACCTGTGCAAACTGTGTTCCTTTTCAGATGAGGCTTCAGAGGCCCAGGCAAATGAAGGGACTTGCCTGAGGTCTCAAGGCCAGTAAGTGTCAGTGCTGAGACTAAACCCAGGTTATTAAGCTCTAACAATATGCTCCTTTTACTTTTCTGCTTCGCCTTCTGGAAGCTTGTCTAGAGCCCCAATCTTAGGTGACCAACCTCCAAATGCGACAGGCAGCGCTAGTCAGCCACTGTTTGCTTTCTGAGCATTTCTACTCCTTCAAGAATTTCTTCATGAAACTAGGTAATTCTAGCTTTAGATCTCACCGAGTTTCTCCCTGCCTCATCATTATTTAATGTGAATTCATTGAACAGCTAATTTGAGGCACTAGCAAACATAGCTAGAAATCCAAAGTCATCAATCATTTAGGCTTTTGCTAATTATTTAAGTTGTGTTTATAACAGTTTTTCTTTAATGTGTTTCTTTAAGATGATTTTTTAACAATTTGCAGTGCAACGAGTTTTAAAGTTATTTCAAATCTGCTGTTTTTCCATCTGAAACACATTTTATGTAATAATTACTCTTGCCTTAGCAGACAACACTCTTTCCAATTTACATATAATTTTTGCAGTTTGCAATTTTGCAAATGAAAAGATGATTCCACTGTAAAGAGGGAGACTGAGTAAAATCTAACTCTGGTAAAAAAAATTACACACATGAGCATTTACTTTTATGACTGGTAATAACTATACATCATTATAAAGTAACAGAAGGAAGTTTGGAAGCTTAGTAGACTCTGATATGAAAAACTAATTACATGGTTTTATATATATTATAAGCCTGAGTATGTTTACTCAAATGTAACCAAAATTAGGATGCTTGATGAAATATCAAAATTGCCACATTACAGCCAAACTTAAAAAAAAAAAGAAATCATGGTGTAGATTAAAATTTTATTTATTTAGGATACTAAAAATTTTAAAGTACTAAAAAGAGGTCTTTATAAGTAATATAAAATTGGGAGGGTGGGTATTATGCAAATATCATGTTTATATATTTAAAGCAAAGAGGTATGGTGATATGCAAACTGTATTTAAATTATGTGAAAAGTGTATTTTTTTGTCTGTAGAGTATTTATTTTCTATTGATTTTTAGAGAGAAAGGGAGGGAGATGGAGAGAGAGAAAGAAACACTGATTTGAGAGAGAAACATCAGTTGGCTGCCTCCTGCATGACCCCCTGTCTGGAATAGAGCCTGCAACCTGGGCATGTGCCCTGACTGGGCATCGAACCAGCAACCATTTTGGTGCATGGATGATGCCCAGCCCACTGAGCTACACTGGCCAGGGCTGTCTGTAGATTCTTAATGAATTTCTTCTGTAAATTGTCTGGTTCTAAAATTATTTTTATTACCAATTTACACATATTTTTCAGTTCACTCAGTAAAATTTTACTGGGCATTTCTTTTATAAAAATATGTCCCTGCAGGTGATATTGTGTAAGAAAAGCTGAAGCCAGTCTTAACATATAAAGCTCACTCCAGACTCCTTATAGAGCTAGTTAAAGTAAGTTAATGTTAGTACTACATCTTGGTAAATTTGCCTAGATAAGTCTTTCTAATTCTCTGCCATATGGCTCTGAACAGTTATACACAGGAAGAAAAGTAAAATATATTGTCAAATTGCTAGTCTATGTGATCCTTAAGAAGTAGAACCAAGTCTTCATTTTTCTATTTTTAGCACCTACCAATGTCTAGCACATAGTAGGAGCTCAATAAATGTTGCATAATCAGTGTCTCCAGGGACCTTGGCCTTTCCAGGACCCTGTAATTATTGCCCATGTTCTGTTAGTAGATTCCAGTGTCAAAGCAGATGATTCTTGTGTACTAGTACTCAGGGGGTGCTTGACAAATGCTGAATGAAAGAATATATTGTTTAAATACATTCCCACCCATTGTCTCCATTGGCAGTTTACCTTGTGATGTGGAGTATGTTATCAATTATTTATTCTTTAGAAACTTTCCACAAATTATCGTCATCATTATAAATTTAGAAGAGGTAATATAGTCAACTATGAATTTTGCATGTCTAGATTATCCATACTGCCTTTTTTAAATTTCTTATCAATCCCAGGAAGCCAGATCCTGGTGAGCAGTCCATGGCCCTTTTGTTGGTGGTAAGCTTTCCTTTCCATGCCAACTTGATGGTTTGGGGAGGTGGTTGGGACCCCAT